ACTGCTGTTGAGTGAACTTCTGCTGAAATAGCCTGTCCTGTCCTCATACATCTTCTCGTCACATTGAACAAAAAGCATTCTGCCCTTTGTAATGAGTTTAATGCGTCTGGCATGCATTCCTTCAGCATCTGTTTACTAACCACTTACTAGGTGTTGGGTACTGCTTCAGGGGCTGAGAATTCCGTGATGAATAATCCAGTCTGGGCAGCTACAGGGAGCTAACATTTTAGCAGGGAAGACAAGACAGTTTTTAGGTACTGAAATTCTCTATTTTTTTTTTAAGATTTTATTTATTTGTCAGAGAGAGAGAGAGAGCACAAGCAGGGGGAGCAGCTGGCAGAAGCAGAAGCAGGCTCCCTGCTGAGCAGGGAGCCCAATGCAGGACTCGATCCCAGTGTCCTGGGATCATGACCTGAGCCAAAGGCAGACACTTAACATACTGAGCCACCCAGGAATCCCAGGTAGTGAAATTCTGGATCTTGCCGCATTTTCACCAAGTCTCTCGTTGCCTTATTTTCCTCCCTGCTCAGCTCAGATTCTACCCTCCATCATTACATTCAGTGTCCTGTCCATTTCTTCACCTCATTTCCCTTCTCTCCTTTTTTCGCACTTGGCTGGCAAAATCCCAGCCTGGTTAAACCCAAATCTTTGCCATCTTCAGAGCTACTCACAAGTAGATGAATGCAGCTACATTATGACAAAAGCCATAATCCTAACTAGTCCTTACTTTGACCTCATGGCCACCCATCTCACTGGGTCCACCTTGAAGCAAGCTGGTAACCACACTACCTTCCCTAATCCATCCTTCCCATTCTCTGACATGACTAGCCTCTCCTGAAAGCTCCAACAGTCCTCTCCCATACTCATGGTGATTTGGCTCCTGATTTCACTGAGAAACTTAAAAGAATGAGAACTTCTTTTAATTTTTTATCTTTTTATTAACGTATAATGTATTATTAGCCCCAGGGGTACAGGTCTGTGAATTTTCAGGCTTACACACTTCACAGCACTCACCATAGCACATACCCTCCCCAATGTCCATAACCCTGCCACCCTCTCCCTACCCCCTTCCCCCCCGCAAACCTCAGTTTGTTTTGTGAGATTAAGAGCCTCTTGTGGTTTGTCTCCCTCCTGATCCCATCCTGTTTCATTTATTCTTTTCCTACCCCCCAAACCCCCCATGTTGCCTCTCAACTTCCTCATATCAGGGAGATCATATGATAATTGTCTTTCTCCGATTGACTTATTTCGCTCAGCATAATATCCTCTAGTTCCACCCATGTCGTTGCAAATGGCACGATTTCACTTCTTTTGATGGCTGCATAGTATTCCATTGTATATATATACCCCATCTTCTTTATCCATTCATCTGTTGATGGACATCTAGGCTCTTTCCATAGTTTGGCTATCGTGGACATTGTTGCTATAAACAAAGAATAAGAACTTCTAAAACTCCACTACATGTGCCAATCCCTACCCAGAGTCAATACCCATATGCTCTACCTTCCCTCTTGTTACTGTGTAGAAACTGCCCACTGTGCCATCTAAGGACAACCGCTACTTTGTGTACCAGAACCCATCTCCTCTTATCTGTGGTAGACACGGAGATGGGCCACCCAGATCTCCCTTCAAGGAAAGGCCTGCCACCAAGTTGCAGAGCCCCCCGGGGGTCTGCTGTAACCATGGAGTCACTTTGCCTACAGTCATGCCCTTCGTGGGGCAGCTTGCATGCAGTGACTGAGCAAAGCGGCGTTATAAAAGCCCAACGAAGAAGGACACTATGAAGAGCAGCGCACACTCCAGAGCTCCCCATGGGATTCGCGAAGGCTTTGTCAGGTCTGCCTCAGTTTGACCTCTTCCTCTGCCCAACCTTGCATCTCCCCCTTCCTTTCACAGGTATTGGTCCCCCATAACTAACTGGCACCCTAACTTCGGCTTCCGCATCCGCGTACAGAGACCGGCCCCTCCCTCTCTTTCAGCACGAACTTTCCACTCTCTACTGATTCATTCCCATCATCACATAAACATTTGGTAATACCTTCCTTCTTCAAAACCAAACTCCTTTTGAGCTACTTTCCATTTCTCTGCTCCGCTTAACAGCAGAATTCCTGGAAAGTGTCTGAATCCATTCCTTGCCTACCTGTCTCACTAGAACCCCACTCGTGGCACCTTCCACGTGCCACCTCCCCAGAAACAGCTGTTGTCAGTGCCGCTGGTAACTCAGCATTGTTACGTCTAATGGGCAATTCTCAGTTCTCACCCTGCCTGGCCTTTGGCAGCTTCTGACCCAAGTGATCGCTCTCTCCCTTTCAGACACTTCTTAATCATTTCCCTTCTGAGACACAACTCACACAACCCAAGATTCTCTCCCACCTCACTGGCTACAGTAACTCCCTCTCATCTCCTTTGCTGGTTCTTCCTCCTCTCCTGAACCTCTAAACACTGGAGAGCTCCACTGTATAATCTGGACCTTCTCCTCATCTGTACCAATATTCACTGTTAATAATCTCTTACAGACTCAGGGCTTTAAATACCATCTACATGTTGACAACTGCTAAATTTACGTCTTGACTAGAGCTTCTTCCCCTGAATGCCAGACTCTCACATTCAACTATCTATTCTGATTCTCCACTTAGATTAGTAGGAATCTCAAACCTAGGATGTCCAAAACAAAATTGATTCCCTTCCCCATTCCCCGCCCCCAAAGAACAAAGAAGCCCTTCCCTCCCATCCCCAACTCTTAAGGTCTTTCTCACCCTTTAGTAACTAGCTACTTGGTTCTTCTGGTTATTAAACCAAAAACCAAAAGTCATCACTGACTCCTCTCTGCCTCTAATACCCCACATTCAATACTTAAAAGAATTCTTTAGAATTTATCCAGTCTTCCTCCAGTGTTCTTATTTATGGTCTCTTTCCAAATGTCATCTTATTAACAGTTACCAAATACGTAAAATAAGATCCCATCCCCCCTACTGGTTACTTCCTATCTCCTTTAACCTGTTTTATTTTTATCACAATTTGTCATTCAGCATTTTCACTTGTTTGTTCATTGTTTTGACCAGAATGCAAGCTTGAAGATTGCAGAGACATAGTTCTGATCTCTAGCACCTACTGATGAGTGGGAGGTAGGTGCTCAGCAAACACTTTTGAATGAACACATGAATGAATGAAAAAGGATGGGAAGGGACTAGTGATGGTATTACGGAGGTAGCAGAAGCACCTGGGCATAAAGCTAAAGGATGCGAAAGTGCAAATCGTTTGAAGATTCTGAGGGAAAAGTGGTCCTAGCAGGAAAAAAAAGCAAAAAGCTCAAAGGTGGGAATGAAACTGGCTTTCTGGGGGAACATCAAAGGCTTGTGTGGCCACAGCCACAGGTGTCAGAGAGGTGAGACTGTCAACAACTGGATTGCATAGGACTTTATGAACCGTAAATTTTTAAGATTTTTTTTTTTTTTTGACAGAGATCACAAGCAGGCAGAGAGAGAGAGAGAGGAAGGGAAGCAGGTTCCCTGCTGAGCAGAGAGCCCTATGCAGGGCTCGATGTGGGGCTCCATCCCAGGACCCTGGAACCATGACCTGAGCGGAAGGCAGAGACTTAACCCACTGAGCCACCCGGTTACCCCATGAACTGTAAATATTTTGAATTTTATTCCAAGTATGAAGAGAAACCACTGGAGGGTTTTAAGCAAGAGAGTACCCAATCTGATAATTAAAAAAAAAAAAAAAAAAAAAAAAAAATCACCTTGGCTGCTGTGCCAGTAGCAGGGGGTGGGGGTGGCAATGTGGAAGCCACCTGGCCAGTGAGAGGCTGCTTCCAAACCCAAGCAAAAGGGTGCACGGACAGGATTTGAGTGGCATCAGAATAGTGAGGAAATTGATATAAAATTTGAGGGTAGAGATGACAGGATTGGCTTATAGTGGTTGAGGAGTAGGGAAAAGAAAGCAAGGGAATCACATACAGAAAGAGGGAGCTATTGAGGAGCGAAAATACTGCGTTCCGGTTTTGAAATGTTGAGTTTAAAAGGTATCTGCGCAGCTGGCCTAGAACTCCGGGAGAAGGGTCTGGACTGGGCAATACCGTATTTATTGTACGATCTCCCCCACCTTTACGGGTCTGAACCGGGCAATACCGTGTTTCCTCTATTATCTCTCACACACACCCCTACACTTAAGGGTCTGGATTGGGCATTGCCGTATTTACTCTATTATCGCCCCATAGTCACGGGTCTGGACTGGCAATACCATACTTCCTCTATTATCTCTCTCTCACACACACGCACACACATCTACATTCACAGGTCTGGACTGGGCAACACCGTGCTTCCTCCATTATCACACTCACACACACACGCCCCCCACACTTACAAGTCTGGACCGGGCAGTACCGTATTTCCTATATTATTGCTTTCTCTCACACCTCCGCATTTACAGGCCTGGAAATCGCACACACATCCCCCTATATTTACAGGTCTGGACATAGATTTGTCTTTGGTGACGTGAACTCTCAACGTCGTAGGGTCTTCTTCCTTTCGGTGCAACTTACAATCCATGGGGTCCTGAGAAATACGGCAGTTTTCAGGACTCACCCCCAGCACGATCTCCGGAACCTATAGGAGACCACCCATTTAGTAATTGCTCTCAAGCTCTGTGATACACTGTAGGTAGCGACTTCCTGGGATAGAAACTTCTCTGCCACCAGCCGCCCACCCCCTCCCGGGCCAGGCTGCCCCCCTTTTCCGGGAAGGAACCGAGGAGACGATACCCAGGCAGGCCCCCTAGCGTTCTCGCGATCAGCCCAGTCAGGCCGGCCTGCCGCCCCGGACGCGGCCCGCACGCTTCCGCAGCAGAGATCCACGAGCCAGGCCCCGAAGCCCGGGCGGCCCCAGAGCGCGCCGCCCCTCCGCCCCCAGCCCGGGCGACCCCGCGCGGCCGCGCCCCGGCCCGGGCTCCCCGCGGAGGCGCCCGGCAGCCCCGCCTCCCCCACCCGCGCGCGCCAACTCCCAGCTCGCGGCCCTGATTGGCCGCCGCATTCCCGCTTTCCTTCCCGAACCGCCATTTTGAAAATCTTGTTGATTCGGGGGAGCCGAGAGCGCGGCGCGAGCGTCACGCCAGAGAGCGGCCCGTGCGCCTCCTCCTCGGCGCTCGCCGCCGCCTCCCGAAGCCTCTTCGTGCCTTCGCGCGCCAGGCCCGCGGCGGCCGGCACCCGCGGTGAGGGCTGCGTCGGGGCGGAGGAGGCCAAGAGGGCGCCGCGGGCCCGCCCGCCTGCACCGCAGCGGCCATTTGGACGGCGGCCTGGGGCGGGGGAGGGGACGCGGGGCGGCCGGCGGCGGCGCGGGCGAGCGGGCGGGGGGACGGCGCGGGCCGGGCGGAGGGAGGGGCGGCGCGGTGCCCGCGGTTTCCCGCCTCGGGAATGCCCGGAGCCGCAGGTAAGTCTCCCCTGGGGAGTGAGCGCGGCTGTCCCGGCCGAGGGAGGAGGCAACTTTGAGGTCGGGTTTCCCGCGGCCCGCGGCGTTCCGGGGCCGGGAAGCGTCGGCCGCCCCGTTCCTGCCGCGGGGAGCGAGGGGACCGAGACGTGTGGCTTCCTGGCCGCCCGCAGGTCCACAGCATGTCCTCCTCGGGCCCAGCTGCAGAGGGAGAGGGAACCCCCGCCCAGCCCGCGTCCGAGAAAGAACCCGAAATGCCCGGCCAGAGAGAGGAAAGTGAAGAGGAGGACGAGGACGACGAGGAGGAGGAAGAGGAGGAGGAGGAGGAAGAAAAAGGTGGGAGAAAGTCGGGTCCCTGGTGATGGATTTCACAGAAAACCCTCTTGCGCCCCCCCCGCCCTTTTTTTTTTGCGCCCGGAGACGCCAAATCGAAGGGATCTCTAGCGAGAATGTTTCCGAGCTGTATCCCTTTTTGGGGTTGTGCAACAGCGGAGCATTAACTCGATGGGTTCCAGGTGGTAGGACAGAACGTGTTAGCGTCGTTGCTGCGTGTCTCGGAGTGCGGTGGACTTCTGGCCAGCAGTGCGTGCTCGCAGCGTCTTCGCCTGCGACGGGACGTTTCTGAGTTTCAGATGTGCTTTTTTAAAACCGCTAGCTTTTGAAGTCGCTAGGGCAGCCGTTTTTAACTTCCATCTTTTGCTCATGTAAGTACAGGTGTTGTTCTGTCTTTGGACGTTACGGCGAGGTCTTTCCTGAAAAACCACATGAAGACTTAAAGACGTTATTTTGCTAGTCCTGGAAGTACTTGGACAACTTCGGTATCTCTGCGGAACGTCAGCAGAGGCCCTTCTCAAAGGCTCGGGGGAGTTAACTTTCACGGGGAAACACCAGTGAAAGCTGTTGCTGCTTGAGAAAGTAGTTAAATATGAAAGCGGTGAGCTGTGAAAGAGTTCCGAAAGCGGTCTCAGTTGTGGAGTTGCGGAAGAGCAGTATTAACCAGTAGTTACCTGGGGGCATGAAGAACCCGACAGAATTCGGGGGTGGTACAGCATCGCTTTCCCCAGCACGCGTGGGGCAGGGCCAGCTTCTGAAAACGTCTGCAGCCACTTAAAAATCCAGATCACAGTTCTTAGAATTCTCCGATGATATTAGCCCAGTCTAGGTTTGTTTCGGCAAGGTGGCTCCGGCTCAGCCAGACTTTGGAAGAAGTTGGAAGTTTTTTTTTTTTTCCTAGACCCGGGTTCAACTGTCAGTTTCTTTTAAGTCTAAAGGCGCCCATGGTCAGCACCTTCTGAGTACAATCTGGCTTGAGATTACATGGTTTGTTTAAAGTGGTAGGTGTTCTGAGAAAGGAGCACTTCCACACTTATAAGTACAAAAGTGCTTAGGAAAAATATACAAATTTACTCCTAAATTATTCATAATGCAGTAACTGAAAATTGGCTGCAGGATCTCAACTACTAGGCCAAAGTTTTCCTCCAGGTGTTTTTTTCCTCCTAATTTTTTGTTTTTAAGTTTCTTTTTAAAGATAGGGTTGTGATACCACTTAGATGATGCATTCCTGTGTGTTAGGGAAAATTATACAAATCAAGTAAAAAATACTACAAATGGTAGATATATAGCAATGTTTGGGGAACTGATGGTAGCTGAAGTTGTGATTTTTTTTTTTTCCCCCAAAATTACCCCGAAGCAGCAATTCTGTACTTGTTCTAATTGCTTATTGTTCTCTTCCCTCATTTGAGGTGTTTGTGGAACAACTAAAATTGTAAAGGTTTTTATACTGGTTAGCCCTGAAAATTGTGCAGCTGAGGCATCGCAGAAACAAGGCAGGTAGTCTGGGCCAAATGAAGGTGGGATTGACTTGACTTGGGTTGGGGAGGAGCTAGAAAAGATGACTTTCAGGTTTCTGTCTTCGGGAGCTGAGTTGACAATATTACTGTTTTCTGAAGGATAGAACTGACAGAGGTGAGCGCGTTTGGAGATGAGTATGACTTCTGTTTTGAGCGTACTGCATTAGGTACCTATAAGACAAGAAGTGGAGCTGTCCAGTTGTTGTCCCTGATAGCTGATTTGAAACTCCTGACTAAAGAGAGATCAGGAAAGTCATTAGCTTATGGATGGTAATCAGAGGTGAGCAGATGGTTTAAATCACTCAGGGAAAGGAAGTAGCTTGATAACACGGTTTGCGGTAGTGTGCGTTTTCTTCACTCCGCACACCATTGCCGGAATATACCTGCTGGAATCCCTTTATCCTTCCTAATTCTTTCTGTGCAAATCCTTACATCTCCAAATCTTACTATCCTTCAAAGCCAACTCGTGTTTTGATCCTTTTTCCTTAATCCAAAAATAATTACTCTCTTCAACTCAAAGAACTTTTATTTGTAGATTTCCTTTAGTGTTCTATCATCTTCTGCTTGGAGTATGTTTGTGTCTCATCACTACCAGTGGACGTGATCTCTTTCAAGAGTTACTCAGTGTCTTAACCATCTGTTCATCCCCCCTTTAGTATCTAGTGAAGCTTTGCACAAAACAATTCAGTTGAATGAATGAAAGGACCTTCAGTGATAGTGTCCGCTTTTTTTATCTGAATTTATCTCAGTAGTTAAATCGTTTTGGAAATTTAAGCTCAGTGTTTTAAGTTTTAAAGTATATGTTCTTTATCATCTAGTCTCTTTTTTTAATAAAAGCAGTCTGTACTATAAACAGTTTAACTTTTTTAGAATGATTTATGGCCATTGTTATAAACATTTACTGAACTACAAAGTGACGTCGATTGCAGTAAATATAAACTGGTAGAATTTTACCCTATTTATAGCAATTTCAGGCTGCTCTGCCTTAGCTAAGGTCTTTCTTTTTCTTTCATCTGCTTACTGAATTACTGCTTTTCTTTGTATGTTTTTGAAGTTGTTATAATCTCTGTCTAAACTTGCTGTTTGATGAGGTACCATAAACTAAATCACAATCAGCAAAATTAGGTCTAATCAAAAAGTAGGCTTAGTGAGGGCTGTGGTGATTTTGCAGTCACTAGACTTTCATTGGCAACAGCTGTAGTGCAATAAAACTTTGTTTGCTTTGTGATTTTTTTTTTTTTTTTTTTTTTTAACTGGATCCCTGGTGAGGTTGCCAGGTAAGTAAAATGCTACTCTAAAAAAAACTTGGTGATGCTATTAACTTATCATGAAGTATTTTCAACTTTCTTTCATCATTTGCTTCTCAGAGTCTTGGTCAGAAGAAGAGTAAGGTATTAGAGGTTTCTGCAGGGTTTTTCTACATGTTTATCCGTAGTGTTAACATGTTTTTTAAGCTTTTAGCTATTTAAGAAGTATTAAATTAATTTCTAGAAAAAAGTCTCATCGTGGAAGGCAAGAGGGAAAAGAAAAAAGTAGAGAGATTGACCATGCAAGTCTCTTCCTTACAGAGAGAGCCATTTACCATTGCACAAGGTAAGTTTGTTCTTTTCATTTTATGGTAAAACTGCCTGAATGTACAAAATGATGGTCATCGGTGCTTAGTTTTTAGTGTTGATTAAGTAGTTATATATTATGGGTATAATTTTATTTAGTTTGCCCTATTCAGCAAAAGCTATATGTAAATTATGCTGTAAAATAATTGTGATTAAAATGACTTTGTAAATGTATTAACGCATAAAGGATATTTAATTATTACAGTGTTTGTTTTTTTCTTTTTTTCTAGGAAAGGGACAGAAACTTTGTGAAATCGAAAGGATACATTTCTTCCTGAGTAAAAAGAAAACAGATGAACTTAGAAATCTACATAAACTGCTTTACAACAGACCAGGCACAGTTAAGACCTTTTTTATATATTTAACCTAGTAACATATTTATGTATTAATGTATTTCACAAAAGAAGCATAATTTTAGTTCTGGAAAGAACTTCAGCAATCAACTAGTTCAATTTCTGTACTATACTAGTGAACAAGCTGAGACACATACTTATTAAATGATTTATTGTAGAATATATAGTTAGATATTAGCACTAGGACTGTAATATCCAGGCTTTGTACTATAGTTATTTTTATGCCAAACTGAAATTTCAAAATGTGAAATCCAAATAGTGGTGATTTTTAGTGATCTTTAAATGTATTAAAAGAAATTTATTTTTTGGATATATCTAGCTATTCAGAATAAATGATTCAGTATAATTGTATCTCATTTTGAGCAGATATCTGGTAAATTAGGTAGTAATTTTTTGTCAGGGAATTTGTCGGAACAAATCAGTATATCATTTACCAAATTACACTGTATATACAACTTCAATATTTTGTATAATTGAGGAAACTTTGCTTTGGGTTATGCATGGGCAAAGTGAAGCTTGCGGTTAGAATCAAATGTGTGGAGCATGGTATAATTTCATGTCATCCTCACTACAGTCTGATATACGCAGGTCTTATTACTGCTAAATGGTATTAACTTTTGGAGGTCCTTTGTTCTTTTCAAAGAATAAAATCCATGACTGACTGATTTGGGAAATATTAATAGTGACTTGCGTTATTTAAGAAAAGGGAGTTTTTCTAAGAAGTAACTTTCCACATTCCCCAGTGTTGTCAGATAACATTTAGTTGTGGTTTTATAATTGCCAGTAAAAGTTCCCAGATGGAAATTCATTCAAAGTGAAATTGTTATTTTTGAAGAATTAAACTTACAAGCCTTTTATAATGTTAATACTTTAGTAACAAGTACAGTTTTCAGTTGTGATTAAGAAGTGCTGAATAAACCACTGGTGTAAGTGGGAGACAGATACAAAAATAAAGATATTGGCTTTGAATTTTTTTCTTATGTACATCACTGGGTAATAAATAGCATTAATAATAAGGGAAACATTTTCAGGTGTCCTCGTTAAAGAAGAATGTGGGTCAGTTCAGTGGCTTTCCATTTGAAAAAGGAAGTGTCCAATACAAAAAGAAGGAAGAAATGTTGAAAAAGTAAGTTATTTTCTTAAGTATTGTGTTTTGACCAATGTGTTATAAGTTTATTTTTAATCATTTAAATATGACCATTTAGACATTTTTTTTCAAAGATTTTATTTATTTGTTTGACAGAGAGCACAAGTAGGCAGAGAGGCCGGCAGGGGAGGGGGAGAAGCAGGCTCCCGCTGAGAGCAGACAGCACGATGCGGGACTTGATCCCAGGGTCCTGGGATCATGACCTGAGCCGAAGGCAGAGGCTTTAACCCACTGAGCCACCCAGGCGCCCCTCATTTAGACATTTTTAGTAGACTGCTAATTCTTTGCTTTAAGTGCCAAGATCTGACTTTTCTTCATAACTATCAACTTAGGATGTTCATTACTTTCCAATAGTGACTGTTAGGAGTATTAAAAACTCAACATGTAATGACGTTTCTACTTCTTAGAAGAACTATATACAGAAGTTATTCATGTAGTCCAAAAAGTCAAAGGGGAATATAGTGAAAAATCTCCCCCACTCTTGTTCTCTGCCAGCCATTCTGTTCTGCGAACTTACAGGTACCATTTAAACTATTTTGAAGATAATTTGATAGGAACACTGTTCTTTACCATAATGCAAGCAAGATGTTATATTAAGAGCTTTTGTTTGTTAAATCCCCTATAGTTTAAGAGTTCTAAATAAAAAAGATGATTACCTGTTTCTTCATCAAAATGTTGTCATAGTAGGAGTGCTAAGGGGGAGATGTAGTATTTAATCACCAACCTCAAGCATTGTCAAATCGTGAATTTTATAGTGCTGCAAACCTCTTACATTATTTCCTAGGGAATTGACCTTTTTTTTTTTTTTTTTTTTAAAGTAGGCTGCATGCCCAGTGTGGAGCCCAGCATGGGCCTTGAATTTTGACCCTGAGATTGAGACCTGAGCTGAGCTCGAGTCAGATGCTTAACTGAGCCACCCAAATGCCCCAACTTCATTTATTCTTTTTACTCTCTTTAAAACTTAATTAGTAAATGGTGTTTTCAATTTATCAGTGACCATATTTGGTTGTATTTTGTACATTAGTCAAGATTATTAGGAAAGTACTTTTTAGATTTGGAGAAACATTAGATGTTTTTTTTAATGTTTGTACCTGAGCCAGTTTTGCTAGCTATTGTCTTTTATGTTGTGGAGAATATTTATAAACTTCGGTGCATAATAAATTGGGTTTCTTTCATTTTCTGTTTTAGATTTAGAAATGCCATGTTAAAGAGCATCTGCGAGGTTCTTGATTTGGAGAGATCAGGTGTGAATAGTGAACTGGTGAAGAGGATCTTGAATTTCTTAATGCATCCAAAGCCTTCTGGCAAAGTGAGGACCAATTTTTGCTATTTCAGTAACAAATCAAGTATTCATAGTCTCTCCTTACTTTTTCTTTGGAACAATTTAGTTTGTTAGCATTTCTTGTCAATATTCAGTATTGCCTTCTGCATTCAAAGAATATACCTCTGTTGATGTATCTGCCAGTTTCATGATAGAAATAACATAGAAGCCACACAGATACATCCTCTCATCAGATAAAAAAGGCATAAGATTCAGAAAAATAATTATTCACTAAATTAAGTTAAATGGACAGAAATACAAAGTTCCAGGGTTATATGTCTATCTGGAAGGCACTGGAAGAATAGAAACAGGTTGAGTTGAGGGTGAGGTGTTGGATTGGTCAGGGAGGGTGTGCAACCTTTCGCCAGGTCAGAAAAGATAAGACGGGGATATATTAGAACTGGATGATTTCTAGACACTGGAATAAGGTTATGAAAATAGAACATTAAAAAAAACAAAAAAAAACCCCAAACTGACTCTTACATGTTTCTTGGATTGGGTTTCCAGAATCAGCAGAGCCCAGGAGCTAAAGAGGAAAGTAAAATGGTCTTGTACTTTCCCCCATTCTTCCTTAAATTTAGATTAGGTTTGCCCGAATTGTTTAACAAATGACATGACTGACTTGAAATGTCTATTGAAGTGTTAACTTACCTGACCTTGCCTTTTCAGTTTGTTTGAAGTTTGTCAGTAAATATTTTTAATATTCTTCCTTACTTTGATAGTAAAGAAATTATGAAGAGATCTAGAGGACCTAGGAGTTCAGGGGCATACCTTCAGTGAGGGGAGAAGTCATAAAGATTAGGAATCAGAAGATAGTTCTGGGACTTTGGTTTTATCTGCTGCTGGTCCAGTCTATCATTAGCTGCGTAAAGACTGATAAAGGATATTTTCATAAATTGTCATGCAGCTGAAAACCCAAGGGCCATGGTAAATCTTTTGTTTCGGTGTTTTGAATTGGCTTAAAGATGAGAGATTATCTGTTTTTGTAAGTTTTTACTATGGGCAGACTGCAATTTCATGTGACAATTGAATACCATTTCTCCGGAGGACATTACTAAATTGCTTAGGTTATGAGGGATATGTTTATATTCTTTTCCTCAGTGATTTTTTAATTGTTGGTTTTTAGGACCTGATTACTCTCTTAAAAATTAATGAGGACTCCAGAAGCTTTTATAGGTGTTATTTTGATATTTACTATATTATAAATAAAAACTGAAAAAATTTTAAATTAATGGTAAGCCTACTACATGTTAACGCAAGTAATATTTTATATGAAAAATAACTAGACTTCCCAAAAAATTAGAAGAATATATTTTTGCAAGTCTGTTCATGTCTGGCTATTCTCACTTGCTTCTGCATTTCCGTCTATTGCACTTGTGACTTTTTTATTTAAAGTATGTAAAGGAAATCATCTTTTTACAGGTAAGTAGTTAGAAAAAGGAATGTTTTAAAGACCTGGAGATAATTACGTGTGTTCTCCTTTGATACAGTACCAAAACTCCACAGTAGTAGTTTATTAAAGGTTCATTATAATGTAGTCTCTGAAACCAAGTCATTGAACTCTTGGGTTTTTTATCAATGATTTTGTAATTGCATTCACCATTTAGAACTTACTGGTTTTTCTGAATTATGCGGATCTTCCAGATGTGGTCACATTTCCACTAAACACTGTCAAAAAGTCATTAATATAACCACCGTCTCATCAGAAAAATCTTTAGGTATTGGGAGACTGTTAGTTCATGGTGACGGATGTGAGTAATCCATTTAAAGTTTTGACATTAGTCATTGGCAGTAAATACCATCCGTTGTTTTCCTTACAGTGGCAGGATCACCTTTATTTTGAACACATGTCTTTTCAATATCTAAGTCTGAATAGGCATACTTTGACGGTTCTTTTACGAACGGTGTTTCATGGAAGAGGTAGCTAGCTTAGCTCACAGCTCAGTTGTGCACGGGATTTTTCTTGAGAAAACCAGTGAAGTTCAGTGTGTAGCGAACATATTCTGTGTGTACCTCCCATTTTGTTACAGATTGCATAAAGACATGTACAGGTTGAGAGTTAATACAATATTTACTGCTTCATCAAAGACGTTCTTAAAGGAAACACCTTTTTTTTTTCTTTCTAGTTTGTGGCTGTGAGGAATACAGTGACTGTTAGCACAGTTGGTGGCCTCCGCCGCCTTTGGTACTAAGGTGCCTGCAGTTTTACAGTCACCTTTGCCTTTGCGTAGTCAGTACAGATGTCAACACAGTGAAAAGAGAAAGTACATAATGTCTTGATATTATTATGAAAATAGTTTTTACCTCGTGGGCTTCTGAAAAGGCCTCGGGAAACCCCAGGGTGCATGAACCATATTCTGAGAACCACTCTTTTAGCCTTACATAATACAACTCTTTTTTAAAAAATTTTAATTAATTTTATTATTTCAGTGTTCAAGATTCATTGTTTATGTACCACACCCGTGCTCCATGCAGTATGTGCCCTCCTTAATACCCACCACCAGGCTCCCCCACCTTTCCTCCCCCCATGGAATCCAACTCTTACACATCCACTTTCTGTGCAAGATTCTGTGAGAACTAATCCTCAATCTAACGATAATCAATCTCAAGTTATTTTCTACACTACTGTACCTTTTTGTCATTTAAGAAAAACTGTAAATTTATTAGTACTAATTTCTTCAAAATAATAAAATTATTGAATTAACATTGTTTTACTATCCTTTTTTTGTACTTCTACCTTAATTATCTGTTTTTCGGATTTTGTTTCTAAAAAGGGATGATGCTTTTGAGACTGGATTCTGGTTAATAGAGTCAGCTATTTTTAGAACCAGTATAAGAAAGCTCTAAAACATCTATGTATTGTTACTTTTTTTTAAAGCTCCTTATTTTTGGAAGTTGTATTTTTTTTAATTGGTTACTTGAATGATTTAACGTATTCTTCCACTTCCTGCATAGATTATCCTGCACCCATCATATTACTACTGATTCCATATACAGATCTTATTCTTACTACCTGTATCTGGTTCCTGAACTTAGATAGTAAGGGATACCACATTTTTCTAATATGTTTGAGTCCTGGATTTCATATGATAGTTTGGACAGTGAGTCACCTTTGCTCCAGTAAGATCAAAGAATTTATACAGATAGCTTTAGTTCCTGGTACTAGTTGGTAATAGTAACAGGTCACATAATAAGGATATCTATGTACATTCAAGGAAGTTTTTTAATAGACCCTTATAGAGCAACCCTCTGAGAAATATCACTGGTCTACTAACTTAAAATTCCTGAAGTGACCTACATTAACTCTTGCCCAGTCTGCCTTTAGGAAGGATAGGTTTTTGGGGGGTAGCTAGAGGCTGTCTTGTGGATTGTGCATAGCCGGAGAACACTACATACACAAAACAGCCACCTTTTCTTAATTTTTGTGCAGGGGACAGTGACCTTTAAGACTGAAACTTTCTAGAAGAGAAAGAATCTGTGATTCTGCTAGCTTCATGAGAGATTTTTCCTAAAGTTACCTCTAACATTTATACGGTTGCATATCATAAGGTTATGTTACCAAATTTTCCTTACTGTTTCTGCTTATTATAGAAAATAATAAAGGCAAAATAAAAACAAGATACCTATTATTTTGGAAATTGTAATTCCTCAGGGTAAATCTTTTCAGATCTTTTATGCAAGGTTATTTTTTGGTTTCCAATTTCATAAGCTTGCAAATACTCCCCTAAGAAAGCATTTAAGAATTAAATTTGCCGGTTGATATAATCAGATTGTTTCCTCGCATGATCTCTGCTTTTTAAATATGCGTGGTTTAATTAAATATCAGAGTAAAAGCAATACATGTATTTTGTGGTTCTTAATTAGCTTTATAATTAACATCCCAACACTAATTGCATATTTAGAATCATCAATGAGAGTATAATTCTGGCATTACTGAAAGTAGAGCCCAGAAGTAATATGAATATAAACTATATAGTTCATAAATTCAGGATGTGTAAAGTGAGGTTTTATTTCCTTTATGGATATCTGCAATCTTTTGATTGGATGATCCCCTAAAGCAAAAATCTCTGGCATTAATAGGTTTTTGGTTTTTTGGATGAGATTATTAATTAATTAGTTTTTTATTAACATATAGTGTATTATTGGTTTCAGGGATACAGGTCTGTGATTCATCAGTCTTACACAGTTCACAGCATTCACCATAGCACATACCCTTCCCAATGTCCCATCACCCAGCCACCCCATTCCTCCCACCTCCCTCCCCTCCCTTTTTGTTTCCTAAGATTAAGAGTCTTTTATGATTTGTCTCCCTCTCTGGTTTTGTCTTGTTACATTTTTCCCTCCCTTCCTCTATGATCCTCTGTCTTGTTCCTCTGTCTTGTTTCTTAAATTCCTCATACCAGTGAGATCACATGATAATTGTCTTTCTCTGATTGACTTATTTGGCTTAGCATAATGCCCTCTAGTTCCATCCACCTTGTTGCATATGGTAGGATTTCAATTTTTGATGGCTGTATAATATTCCATTGTATATGTGCGCGCGCGTGTGTATATATATATCTATATGTAGATATATAGATCTCACATCTTTATCCATTCATCTGCTGATGGACATCTAGGTTCTTTCCATTGTTTGGCTATTGTGGACATTGCTGCTATAAATATTCGGGTGCATGTGCCCCTTTGGATCACTACATTTGTATCTTGGGGTAAATACCCAGTAATGCAATTGCTGGGTCATAGGGTAGCTCTGTTTTCAACTTTCTGAGGAACCTCCATGCTGTTTTCCAGAGTGGCTGCACTAGCTTGCATTCCCACCAAAAGCACGGGAGGGTTCCCCTTTGTCCACATCCTTGCCAACATCTGTTTCCTGACTTCGTAATTTTAGTCATTTTGACTGGTGTAAGGTGGTATCTCATTGAGGTTTTGATTTGTATTTCTCTGATGGCATTGACAGTTTTAATGCTTATAGCAATGAGATAAATTACAAGTCTAACTCAAAATATTGCCTTGATAAAGTGTAAATAACTGTCTGAGATTAATACAGTGTGTGCTTGGGCTTCTAATCCCATGTCAGAACACAAAGTATGTATTTTAGCATTTGTGAAGAGTCTTACCTAGGTGTTAGAACACAAATGAAAGGGTAGTGTGGACAAAAAGATCAACTTGACACTTCAAAGATGAATTGTTCTCTGTAAATCTGCTAAGTTTAGAAATACTTCTTGAGACAGGAACAAGAATGATTGAGTTGATAAGTAGCTACCAAAAATGATTGACTTGGAAATATTACCACTCTTTGGTGTTATCTTTATTTTATTGTACACAGCCATTGCCAAAATCTAAAAAAAGTTCTAGCAAAGGCAACAAAAAGGAACGGAACAGTTCTGGAATGGCAAGGAAAGCTAAGCGAACCAAATGTCCTGAAATTCTGTCAGATGAATCCAGCAGTGATGAAGATGAAAAGAAAAACAAAGAAGAGTCTTCAGATGATGAAGATAAAGAAAGTGAAGAGGAGGTAAAATGTTGGGTGTTTTGGGGTTTTTTTCCCCTTGTTTCTTTCCATGGGGAGAGTTAAATATTCCTGTCATGTGATAGGTATAGCCAGGAACCAGCCTAGAAACTGTTACTGCCATATTGGTTGTTTTTAATTCCAAAGACACAACAATAGTTAAGTAGAGATCTTTTCTTTCTCTTAATGGAGCTTTTGGTTTTATGGCCATGCGAGAGTTTGGAGTTGGAGGAGTGAGGTTGGCTGGATTTGAGCTGGACTTTGAAAATTAGAGTAGGTAAATGGGAAGGGAGAGCAGTGCATGCACTGAACAGGAACCCAAAGAAACAGATTGAGAATTTTTTTACGTTAGTATTTTATGATTGATTTGAGGCATTTTGTTCTGTTTTATGGAAAAAAGCAAGGTTTTCTCAACTCATTGGGGATTATTTAATGAGAAGAACAGTGTCTGAAGTTTATTTGATGGGTGGGCAAGTTTTGTATCACCTAGGAATGCCTGCCGTTTTCTTTTACTTGGGCATATCTGTAAAATTTTGAGAATATTTAGTTTCCCAAGTGAAACTTCAGGAGGAGGAGAGCTGCTGAGCCATTTAAAAAGTTAGCTTTACCCTCTTGTTGATGCATATCCTCAGATGATTTCTTACTCTGGTTAATAGTGTTTTGGTAGAGATTGTTTTAACTTTGTTCTGGTGTCTCCTGCAGTTGTCAGACCTTGCTATGTAAATTGGGTCATCTTCCTTGTCTTATTTAGGGACTTGATTAATTGGCTTGACTTTTTTAAGCCAAGGTGATTCTTTGTTGTGGAGGGCTGTCTTGTGCCTTATAGAATGTTTCCCCAGTAGAGGACAATAGCACCTTCCCCTACAACCTCCCGAACCTCCAGTTGTGAATACCAGAGATGTCTCCAGACATTGCCAGATGTCCTTGGGGGTGGGGCAGGAGGGTCACCTCCAGTTGGTAACTCCTGGATTAGAAGGAATAAAGATGGGATGAACTCTGATTTTGTATGTGTGTGTATTTGTTTTTAGGTACATAAAATCCATGATTATTTTAATGTCAGAGTTCTGTAAAGACAAAAAAGACTTAGCTTCTATAAAGCTAAGTATGAATTGCGTAATAATTTACAAAAGAATATTACAAGTCTAGCAGGTATTTCATAATATATTTTTGGAGCAAAGGAAGATGAGAAATCTCAGCTCTGAGGTTTTTTATGGAATAGATTCTAGGGACATCAAGAGGGAAACAGGTTTGTTTATATGTGAATCTGTAATAATAGCAATTTTGCAGTAATAATCATCCTCATTCAACAGATTTTGGGTTGTTACTACATGTGTTCACTATGCTTCCTAAAACCTTTTTAAAGGCAGATTTAAAGCATGAAAAGTTGTCATAGAATATAAATACTTAATTTTTCCATAGAGGCAATGTGATTATGGGTATGGGCTTCAGAAACTATTCTGGGTACAAATCCCAGCTGTATCTTGGAGCATGACTTTGGGCAGATTACTTATAAACTGTATGTGTCAGCTTCTCATCTGTAATATGCAGTTGATAACAGGACCAGCCTCAAAGGGTTGATTTCAGTGACTTTGTTTAAACCACTTAGAGCAGTGCTTGGTACAAGTACTGTGTATTAGCTGCTGCTGTTACTAATAGTATTAAGATAACCTTTTATCATATGTAGTATTCCTAAACCTAGGCTTCCTGTCATTGCTAAGGGGCAGGTTAAAAGGTGAGGGTGTTTTATACTCATTTTCTTACTTGCTTTCCAGATGATTGTCCTATGCTAAGTAGAATTACTTGGAAGTTTGTAATATAGATGACCTCTGATTTGTAACCATATTGGTTCCTGGACAGTGATCACAAGTGGAACTGTCCCACTTATAAATCAAAGCCTTTCTACAGGACTATAAAAAAGGATCATTTGCTAGAAACCCAGGTCAAATGGTGAAAATCGATGTAGGAAAAAAAGAAAACACAAATAGACTTTTACCGTCATATAAAGTCACACAACATAAATGCTATATCATAACGCTCCATTCTCCTCTTTGGTTTTTGTCCTTGGACTGGTACTGACAAACATTCTAAAATACAATCTAGTAAAATCTGGACTGAGAAATACTCTTTTTTTTTTTTTCCTTGATAACTCTATTATTCATGGCTCTAAAAGCTATATCAGATTTAGGACTATTCTGAAAAAACTTTATTTCTCGGGTGCCTGGGTGCCTCAGATGGTTAAGCGGTTGCCTTTGGCTCGGTCATGATTCTAGGGTCCTGGCATTGGGTCCCTGCTCAGTGGACAGTCTGCTGCTGCTTCTCCCTCTGCCTGCCACTCTACCTGCTTGTATTCTCTATCTCTCTGTCAAATAAATAAATAAAATCTTAAAAAAAAAAAACCCACTTTATTTCTGATTCTGTTCCTATGAATGGTAAGTACTAACAGGAGGAACAGTATTTCTATGGTAACTGTGTTTTCCCTTATTTTTCCATTTTTTTGAGGACTTAGTTAAGTGTTAACTTTGTTAGGGACTTCACAGGCGGCATTATGTTTTATTATTACTATGAAAGGACGTCTTTTTACTTTTTTTTTAAGATTTTATTTATTTGACAGATACTGAAAGTGAGTGCACAAGCAGGGGGAGGGGCAGGGAGAGGGAGAAGCGGGCTCCTCACTAAGCAAAGAGCCTGATGTGGGGCTTGATCCCAGGTCCTTGGGATCATGACCTGAGCTTAAGGCAGCTGCCTAAATGACTGACCCCCCCACCCCAGGCACCCCATGGACCTCTTTTTCTAAGAGGCCAAAAGAGTTACAGGTTGATTGGAAAAGTTGTGAATTGCCTGTAGATAGAATTTTTTGGTAGATTCTTTTCATAGAAAATTACTAAGTTAATATTACTTATTCTGTTTATTTCCTGAGACAGATTTTTTCCTTCATTTAAATAAAAGACTTCTCCCCCAGGGCACCTGGGTGGCTCAGTGGGTTAAGTGTCTGCCTTCGGCTCAGGTCATGATCCTTGGGGTCCTAGGATTGAGTCTTGCATTGGGCTCCCTGCTCAGCAGGGAGCTTGCTTCTCCCTCTGCCCCTTCTGCTCTCCCTGCTTGTGCTCTGTCAGATAAAGAAAAAATCTTGAATTTCGGGGAGGGGGGAAAGGCCTCTCCCCCATTAACATATTCTTGTTTTATTTTAGATTCTTGGAGTAAGTAACTATGTATGAAGTTGGGTGGATAAATGCTATCTTTGATTTCCTCTGTCAACTGAGGGCTTTGGACTAAATAATCTATGTCCCATTGCTAAAGTCAGGACTCTGAAGCAGAAATCCAGTTCGAGTTACAGTTGTCCATTGACCAGTTATGTGGGGTTGAGTGTTACTCATTCAGCTGGTCATTTTCAGATGTAGCTGTGTGGAAGACTAGGATGTTTGTAAGTTAATTTATTATCTCTTAAATGTAAGATTGAAGTCACTGGAAATCACGTAGTTAAAATAATTGTCAGGTTTTTTTTAAGTGTTTTGTAAGAAAACGTGTCCTATTTAAGCCTGTTAGCCAGTAATTGCTAGGACATTTTGTTGGAGGTTCTCTGTACCTGGAGTTCTGTTTCAGTAATAGGCAGTGAGTGGTTCACAGAGGTTTTAAATCCTCTTTTTTTTTTTTTTTAATGATTTTATTTATTTTTTTTGACAGAGATCACAAGTAGGCAGAGAGGCAGGCAGAGAGAGAGAAAGGGAAGCAGGCTCCCCGCTGAGCAGTGAGCTGGGTGCGGGGCTCGATCCCAGGACCCTGAGACCATGACCCAAGCCAAAGGCAGAGGCTTTAACCCACTGAGCCACCCAGGCACCCCAAATCCTCCTTTTCTTAAGAAGCCCTTTCTTTCCAAGAGCGATTTTATTGAAGAGTTGTTTTAAACTTACCATCTTGGCTATTGGACGTTTGCTTAGTTAGGGCAGTAGGAGGAGAGCAGTTTAGAATTGGGAAATTTGTAGTGTAGATGAAATTTCTTAAAAATGAGGGAATAGGGGCACCTGGGTGGCTCAGTGGGTTAAAGCCTCTGCCTTCGGCTCAGGTCATAATTGCGGGGTCCTGGGATCGAGCCCCGCATCGGGCTGTCTGCTCCGCAGGGAGCCTGCTTCCTCCTCTCTCTCTGTCTGTCTCTCTGCCTACTTGTGATCTCTGTCTGTCAAATAAATAAAATCTTTATTTAAAAAAATGAAGGAATAGGAAAATGACACGTTTAGGTATTTCCTGTAAAGTTATTCTGAAAATCATCTGGTTCCTATACTGGATTAGCATCTTTAGGAGAATATTGCTTATATGAACCAGTGAGATTAAACCATGCTTAGGTTTGTCATTTACCATGGGTGTTAGACCTTAGGCATAGAGAACTACTGGAGAGTACAGAATGGGAAGTGTGGCTTCCCACCTGGAGAAAACAGTTCTGATAATCTCTTAGACCCTTAAAAGCATACTTAGTTTTTTAAAATTTTATTCTAATACTCCTGTTTTCTAAGTATTTTTATAACACTCTTACAACTGGAAAAGTATACAGCAAACTGAATTATTACTTGGTTTTTAAAATTTATCTGAATGTACTCATATGTATCAGGAATGTCTTCAACTGTAAATACTTAAAAACCTTACTAGTAATGTCCAAAACGGGAGTTCTTTTTTCTTTCGTGACAGGAAATCCACAGACAGGCAATCTGGGGGCCAGTACATCAGCTTGAGAAAGGTATCAAGACTTTTAATATCCTCTTTGTTCCTGCATATGTGGCACTTAACCTGTACGCCATCTGCATATGTGGCACTTAACCTCATAATCACAAGATGGTGGTTTTACCTTTAGACCTTGGATCCTTGCTCCTGATAGAGAAGAGCAAAGGCTTTCTTCTAGGAATGTGTTTGCTTTTATTCCCCCAGAGGGGATACCTTTTACCAGCGATCTCCGTGTATGTTGCCTTGGCCAGAACTTCATCACCCCTCTACCTCTAGCTGCAGGGGAAGCTGAGATC